TCACAAATATACTTACTGGATAAACCATGATGGCTTTTTGTTGAAATCTGAGCAAAAGATAGGTTGGTTTATTACCAAAACCTAATAGAGCACACAACATCTTTAACAACAAACACAAATAGAATATTAGTCAGATATATATATCAACAAAAAGCAACATATATCTTGGATCCAGAACATCTTTAGATTTGTTTCCCTTTGGCATTCTTGTAAAAAACATTTGGTCGCTAAGAACTCTCTCTTTCTGTCCTTCAACTCTCCTCTATTTACTTGAGCATAAATGCAAATAATTAACCTGCACTCAAATTCAGAGATATTTCTTGATAAATTGATATGATAAATGCAGTATTTCCAAGATATCTATGTAGCCTAGTAAAAGTACGTTTTGAATCCAAGATAAGTTAAGTTTTGTTACATAGCTTATGGTGAATATATTATAATATACTGAGTATATATACAGGCTTCGTAATACTATCTATCTACTGTATGGAAGACAGACATCAAATAAAGCAATTTATACTCAAATTTCATCTAAATACAAAGAAATGTTACTTAATCTTTCTTATTTAGACATCAAAGCATTAAATCTGATTGTAATACTTTCATCAACTTTTATCAAATAAAGCAATCTAGTCTCAAATTTCAATTATAAAGAAATGTTACATAATCTTTCTGTAAGCATTCTATATAACTGAAGTTCATTAAAAAAGCTATTATAAAATGCTAGACATCAACTATACTGGGCGGAGATGTTAAATGTGCATAGATATGTTATAATTTTTTTAAGTACAATATATCACATAATTGAAATGATAAGGAAGATCCTGGTTTCTCGAAGCACTATAATGATATGTTCAATATTGAACCTTATGTTAATGATATATTATTTTATATACAGTGGGTGTCAAGATCTGAGAGTATTAGATAAGTGTTCTATAGAAGAGGCATATTAACTATTCCTGTAACATGCCAGTCTGAGATTCAATTCAATCACCATTTAGCTTCACAGTTTCAACATTCCATTATCATTCAAACATATCAGTACTTAGTTAAACATTGGAATCGTTCCAGGAGAATTATTTCAGAAAACATCTTTTTTCGCAAATTATAATTCATTTTATGCCAAAATACAGAAATTTATTTTTTCATTGTAAAAAAGGAAATATTTCCCCTGATGTTAATTAAATATAAACTGACTTTAAGAATTGTATTTTTTTCAGTTGAATTAGAGCCAAAAACCAAAAAGCCATAAAAATAAAAATTGTTGAAACCTTTAGCTTTTTATCAGTAGAATAATTAATGGCTGGAGCTAGATTATGTAACTACAATGCAATGCAATGAACAATAGGAATGATAAAGGTGAAAAGTGAAGCTAAATGGCAAGTTTTAGAATAGTATATAAATATAAGCAATCTAACATTAATAATAAAATATACCAACAAAAAAATACATGATCAATGTTTGTTAACAATGATAAAAAAAACATACAAAAACTATCTAGTATAATTCACTAATTAATATCTTACTTGTTTAGTTTCATTTCAATCCAATAAATATATAATTGAACATTCGTAATTTGAATTGAACTATCAGTAAAATACCAAAAACGTGTTAGAAATTGATTTCCAATAGGAAAGCATCAATATATGATAATTTGAGATAATGTTTATATTTTATAAAATAATCATATAAGATAATTTTAGATACATAAACATAATTTGAGATAACCTTTATATGTTATAAAATAATCAGATATGATAATTTGAGATATATAAACATAATTTGAGAAAATGTTCATATATATAAACATAATTTGAAATAATGTTTATGTTATAAAATAATCATATATGATAATTTGAGATAATGTTTATATGTTATAAAAGAATCATCTCTACATTATTGATATTGTATGAGTATAACCAGTTCTTAAATACTAACAAAATAATATCAAAACAATCGATTTTCATTATGCTTTTCATAAATTGATATGGCTCTTGAGATTCCCAAACATAAAAAACAAATATCACTTCATGCATGGCTTCACTTTTGATATTCTAATTTCTGATTATGCTCTTCACAATATTTTGTTCACATGATTTCTTCTTGTTCTTAGTAAAAAAGATGTTATTTACAGAATCTCTCATTAATACACGTTACAAAAAGATATGAATTGAACAAAAATATGCATGAATATAAGTTTTGATAAAATATTTGAATCATCTTTCCATTATTTACAGTATAAAATACAGTGAACTTGAAACATCAGCAGAGATGAGACCTTAGTTTTAATAACTGATCAACACAACACTATTAGTATCCATATTATATAGTAGGTACTGTTGACACCATCAAAACACTCCAGATTAGAAATGGTATCCCTTTTTCGGTATTAGTTGTCAAACAGCATCTGATGAGGTCAATTCTCCTAATACTGTAGATGATGTAAGAAGTGCAGTGTTGGCTAGTCCTCAAAAGCCATGTAACAGGGATGTAACTTTGTGACCAGGGTTTGTTAGTTGCCAGCTGTATTAGTTTGATAAAAGAAAAAGAAAAAAAAAGTATGTTAGTTTATTTGTTCTGCTACAATATGGCATTCAAGGTGGTGTAGTTTACACAAATTATATTTGAACCATTTTATTATAAGTTAAAGGCCTGTGTTAGAGCATCTAGATTATCAACTTTTAAAGAGCCAAGTTGTTTTAACATTTTGTAAGTGTTAGCTTTCGATTCAGGCGAGCTATTATTTCAATTAGATTATAGGAATAAAAAATATAGTTAGTTAAAATTTGGTGATATAGAAACTGTATAACATTTGAATATTGTGTAAAAGTAGGAAAGAATAAGGAGGCTCTAAAAGGCTGAAATTGTGTTGATAAAAAAGATGTTCACAGACATTACATACAGACATTACTCACACTGTTCAATTAGACACCTCATTTTATATATTACATGCAGTATCACCCCCCATGCTGCTCAATTTTCATATAATATAATGAATGAATGAATTAGAGTCATGAGCAATTAAACACAGGAAGGAGATTATATAGGAAGAAAATTGATCAAATGTTAAAATCAGTGCATGTTGTCATCTATATTTAAATAGTTTTCAATAACTACAGAAGCAGTCAAATATTCAATGCAGTTTTCTAATTAAACAGAGTTAGTAATGTCTGTTAAGCACAAGTCCCACACCATTATTCAATAGGCCCTACTTTTATTAAAATTAATATTAATTAACTAATTTTCAATCAAAATCTAATAAAATTATTAATATTAGTTATTTTTCCTCTTTGACCAGAGAATAAATAATAACACTTTGTGTATAAAATTGACTTTTATTTTACTTTTTATTCAATAATCATTGCACATTACTTTCTTTTGATTGAATGCAACAAAATTTATACAAGTCATGAACACATAAAGACTATTTCTTTCAATCTGAACAGCACACCTAAATCTTTTTTTTTTCAAATAAATTTCGATATCCAAATATCATTCTTATACAAAATCAAGCTTAAAGATTAAATTTTCAAAAACTTAAAGATATCTGAATGCATGATATGGGACTTAAATAATAAAATGATCATATATAATCTTGTAAAAAATAACTCGCCATTAAGTTTCCCTATCATTATGCATGGTGAAGACGAATACTGTCTGCAAGGATAAACTATCACATTGGAAGGAAAATAAAATGATAACTATAAAAACAAAATATAAAAACTCTGCTGAATAAACATAATAAAACTTCTCTATAAAATAACAAAAAAAAAAAAAAAAAAAAAGACAAAATATTTGCTGTGAAGACAAAACATCCAATGCAAGTCCTTGTTTTACTGATTTTGATGAGATCAAATTCAACAGCAAATATTTTGAACTGGGATTGCCATCGATAATAAAACAAAATGTTACAAGCTGTGTAACAAAACTAACCTTCCATTAAGCTTATGGAAGAGTTGTGACCCTGGTGTAAGGGTGCTCTCGCATTCCAGCTAATGTTCGTCTTATTTTCGGTACAGCACCTAAAATATGTCATAGTTTATAGATATCCAGACAATAACAAAAATATACTACAATAACAAATTTCATATCCCCTGGTTTAATAGATTGGAGACAATAACAATTTTATACAAACTTTAACAGAGTTTGATGATATCAAATAATAATCATCAAATAACAACTTTAATGGCTGAGCCATATTAATTTTAAGTTATATCATTGTTAATACTTTATCAAGTATGTTAACTGTTGGATTATTTCTAAATCAGGTTCAACAGATACCAGAACACATCCCCAAATGTTAGTCCAATTAAAATTCAGTGCCAAATTAAAATTCAGTGTCAAAGTCAAATCAAATCAATCCAAGGAGTGACCTTGGACAAAGATATTATTACCATTTGCCTACACAACAAACATAATTCATCTTTAATATTATAAGCTTTTTTTGTGTTTTGAGGTTGGTTTTACATTTTTCTTCATTAAAAATTTGGGTATAGTAAATGTTTGATGTGTTCTGAATCAAGTTGATATTTTAATAATGACAGTTAATTTAATTAATTATATCAGTCCAATCATTAGTTATAATTTAAGTTATTTAATGATATACCAGGAGATATGAGTAACAAAACTGAAATAAAAGCTAGTGATTAAAATAATAAAATACATAATTATTGACTACTTATATAATATAATATAACCACCACCAAATAATATAGATTATATAATATAACATCCTTCAAAATACATTTACTTTGAGCAATTGTCAATTTAAATGCCACTATTATGAACTTGTTCGATGTAAGATTGGGACAAATAACAAAGATAACAAATCTTTGAACCATGGATTTCTACAGAAGCATCTGGGAATGATATGTTCAAACATACCAGCTCGTCACTACAACATCAATCGAGATCAAGCACAACAAATTGATAGGAATGTGGATTTCAGATCCATTTAAATATTATATAAAAAACACAGAAAATCGTGGTATCACCAAACTATCTTGCTGAAAACAATTGCACTAGCTTTGAGCCATAAAACACACATGGTGAACTAAGTAAAAAAAATTGCACATTTTGGTTTTAGACCTATGAATTTCTTCAATATCATGGAATGTTTATAATTGCACTTAGGATGATACTTTGATAAAATCATATTGATAACAAATTGAGCATACAAATCTAAATCAAATCGTAAAAAAAAAATTCATACAAATGTGTATAATACTAAAATTATTAATTAATATTGAATATAGTGATATATTCTACGTATCAAATATATATATAAAATAATCTAACTAATAAAAAATCAGGCATATCACTATATTCAATATTACTTTTTATTATAAGGCCATCATCTGACAAACATACCAGCTGCAGCTTGTTCTAGTCCTGTAGGGTACTCTAATATAGCAGCTGCTGCAGGAGCGTAGGTGAAAGGATAATCATATGGGTTATACATTAACCCTCCCTCTGAGGGTGATACTAATGGTGGTGGTTGTCCATTCATGATACCAGCTGTACTTGTAGCAATATTCGGCATTCGAGGAGCTAAGATGATTGGTGCTCCAGCAGGAGTACCGGTACGAAATTGAGCAGCTTGTTGAACAGTTAAAGGTGGACCCATGAACCTGGGAGCTTCTGAAAGTACAATAGAATCAGCATTAATGGAGTTTCCCAAATTCAACTACAAAAAGTGTTAACAATATGACATAATTATGGATGGTACCCTAATCAATCTGATCATATGAAAATAGATATATTTCTTACTGAGTATCAATAGCTAAAAATTATGACACAAAATGACTTAAAAATAAAATACCACCAACCAAAATGGGAATTAACACAACCCTGTATGTTAAAAGGAAATAATAATAAAACAATAACCAAATAATTTAAAAACAAATAATTGTAACCACAAAATATTGAATTTGATGTACAAAGTAATGAATGGGATTTTTATCTCTATATTCCATGGAGGGTTCTTCTGGATTCTCTCAGAAAATGTTTTAAGTAACAATTTACAATTCTAATTTTCATAAATAAGTTATAGGTCAAATAGTAGGACAACACAATTTAATCTACTTCCATGAAATTTAGATTTAATAATGCAGCAATTATAAAATTTATGTTCTATTTTTCAAAATAAAAGTATAAAGCCCAATTTAATAATAAAAAAAATAAACTGTTGAATGCCTTTTTACCTGGAGTGTCCACTCTGATAGAAAGCATTTAAAAAAACAATTATTTATTATTTCATATGAACACAATTAAAACCTGGTTGCCTCTCCTCATCATAATGTCAAATCACATGCATATTACACCACCAATCTTACATATCTTATTGAGTGTTGAATCACAACTCAATGATCTTTTTCCTAATATAAATCAGTGAAACAAATTATCGTTAATATTATTTCATTAATAACGAATTATTAATTTATTTTATTCTTTGATATATGCATCTTTTTTAGGATAAATTGTAAAATATTCTGAATACAATTGAGAAGAAAAAGAAGCTAAAGTGAAATCTGACAAGAAAATAAAAGAGGTCAAGAAGTTGCAAATAAGAACTAACACTGATGTTCATAGCTTCAAAACTAAATTAAGACTCAAATTTATGTAAGAATTCTTAGCTTACACAGAAGTGTATTGTAACAAACTAAAAATCTAACAACTAATCAACAAATTTGTTAAAAGCCTTCTGTAGGATTGATGAATATGTCAAAACTTAAATAACAAGTTTCCTAAAAAAAAAATTCTTGCTGTCCTTGATCTTCGAATTAAAAGAGGTTCAACTATTTTGAGGTTATCTCCCTTGAATAGCTCTTTATTGCATAAAATTAACTTGCAGTTTGTAGACATAAAATACTATAATGGTATTGCCATTTAAGAATGTTGAAATGTTTCAAGCAGGTACCTCTCTTCCATTGCAATTTATAAATTTCATTGTAGACCATTTGTTAATCTAACCAAAGTTTAATTGAAATATTTGAAGGTGTTGCCAATGTTATATCCTTTAAATCATTATGACTGGGATCATAAGTGTTGTATTTTCATTTACACAAAATAGGGACCATAATAACTTAAATACAACCAAAACCAATCACCAGTTCATTCCCAAAACACACAACCATCACACAATTGATCATGCATCCCTTTACTAATCTGACTATATATAGAACACGGCATGTAAGAACAAACAGTTGAAAAATAGAGAGATCTATAACACAGTGATTGATACATGCTAAAAGTGAAAGCTGTCTAGGTTTCATGCATGGTGTGTGTAATATGCATGTGTTCTATATAAAGATTCTAAAAACCCTAATAAACACCCGAAGGAAAAACTATAAAAAGTTTGGTAGCAACACTTGTATAAAAGGTACTAAATACTAGTAGAAAACCAGATAAAATTCTACAAAAAATATATGCCTAAGCCCCAAAAAAATGAATAAATACAAATAATAATATATATATATAACAAAAAGACATGCTGAAAGCAGAACTGAAAGTAAATCTGGAAAAGAACATATTCCAGAAGCTAAGCACCGCACACAAGGTATTGGGACGAGATTCGAGTAGACTTACGACTCGGTGGAGGTGCTGATTGAGATGTGGCTGTAGCCGGTTTAGATGTATCACGATACGTGCCATTAATTATGGCTAGCTCCATGAGTTGTCTTTTCTTTAAATCATCTTCACCATCAGGCTGGAAATAATGTGATATAAAAATAGGGTTAGAATTACTGTTGTTAGTTATAAGCTAGTAATACAAGGACACTTACGAGGTAGTTGTAGGCCAGGTATTGATAACATTTTACATGTTGTATCATTACGATACGTTCCATTTAATATCGCTAATTCCATTAATTGTTTTTTCTTCAATTCATCTTCACCCTCGGGCTGAAAACATCATTCAATAGGACAATAAAATATACATGCTTTAATAGGTTAATATATCCACAATCGTAAAGTTGAAATATCTTTAATTTAATATATTCTGAAAATTTGAAAGTAACAGAAGTATAAGATATATTTGTTTTACTAATAAAAAAGCTCCTAGAGCAGCTGTAACATGTGTTTTTAAACAGTACCAGATAATACCTTGTAAATTTTAATTAGAACTGCATCAACTTTTATGATTGACTTTCCTTTTGAAAATAACAACACATGCCTGTACTTATCACTCAATGAAAATATCTATTACAGATGGTAATATTTTTAAAAGAGGTTAGCCATTTTTTCTGTAAAACTCAAGATCTCTGTTCATATTAGATAGTAAGAAAATCATAATAACTGGCCTCTAATAAATAATTTTTATTTAATTGTTGAGAAATTAGAAGCATGGCAAATTAAATTTTGCTTTGAGGCTCTATTCAGGAAACTTTCTTTATGGATAAAGTTTATTATGCCATGCAATTGTTTGTTTCATTAATCACAGACTCCAATATGTTCCAATGGAAAAAATTGAAAGAGTTGTGAATCAGCTGTGTTTCTGGCAAGGAAGGAATCAAAATATAAACATGATCATTGTTCAAAACTGAAAACATTTACGCTTTTGCCAAAATTCTTTTGAATGCTTACAATGGTGAACAAAGAAAGGCAAAAGAATGCTTTTTATCTGATATATGTTTAAGTAATTTTATAATATCTTCAGTATATCTAATATTCAGACAACTCTATCTGACCTTGCCAATAGAGTACATCTGTTTTCTGCTTCACTGCCTACCATACAAACTTGATGTATATGTGACATAGGATATAAGAGCTAGATATCATATATTTGTTATTCAAACTATTTCTCAGTCATATATCACATTACAAACTCAAGCTATCACACATATCTTCTAGCTGAATAGTTGAGATAATATCTTCATTTTCAAATTTAAAGACCTTTTTTTTTCTCTAACTCTTCAGAGCTTGAATATGGTAATGTAATAATGTGTTTCTGCGCTAGTTCATTTCATGTATATAAAGTCTATATAAGTGAAGTCATTATACAGTGGATATAAAAACAGAATATAAACAACATTGAAAGAAGATGAATGTGCAGTCATCCCGAACCAGTTATGAGAATAATCAAGATCGAGGGTGCGGTATAAAACCAGTTGAACTTGTCTTGTCCTTTTACACATCCAATCCTCACCAAAACCATTATTTCCACTATACGAGTTAAGACTTTTAGCTAAAACATAATTACCACTTAAAACTTAAAATGGCAATTGAAAGAACAGAAATTATCATTATAAAAAATTTCAAAATAGGTCAACCAAAAAATTCTTTCAGATACATAGCCCTAAATAGCTTTTTCTAAGGTTAACCCAAAGGCAATGAAGTTGATATTATACTTTTCAAATGTACCTATTTTCAGTTTAATTAATATTCTTAAATAAAGTAAATTTTCAAGTTGTAACCACATGTGTTTAAGATTGGTGAAGGAACCATACTAAGTTTAGAAATAAGATAAGTTATATAGGTGTAACATGATATGTTTATATCATCCCTAGTTTTAATGAACACTTCTATCTGTTTCTAACTTCAAAGAAAACATCATTTTAATGCTTTAAATGTTGGTTCTAGTAAGGAATACCTCCTTCTGTTTTAAAAGTGGGTTTTGGGAGGAATTGATATTCTGTCATGAACATTAATGTATTTTAGTCTATATTATTTATCTTGTACTTGAGTATTAAAAAGATTATATTAGAGTTACTTCAGTTACTAGAATTATACTACTCAATATCTATTTGACGTTAAAACCTACTCAAACTCAAACAATTTCAGTATCTAATATCTTCATTGGTGTATATGAAACTCTATTTAAAATATAGCAATGAAGGAAGTAATTAATATTACCTAATGTAAGGTCAGATCTTAGCCTAAAGCAATCCTTCATGTCTAAATATTTATTTATAACTTATCAACTAAATCCTACTGTATTTAATAACCTTATATAACATGAAAACCCTACAGCAGTCCAGATAAATCCATTTTAAGGTATATGTTCTAATAATCCCTACTCAAATTTTTTCAGTGTTTCTTCTACTCTCTCCATCTAATCTTTTATTCATTCCTTTTCTATCATTCTTTTTCCACACAAAAGTACAAATTCTTTGCCAAATTCAAGTAATGATGACTGTTTTTTTTTTTGAAAGAAATTTTTGCCAGAATGTAGACATAAAAAAATATATTGGAGACAATTTGGCTACACATCAAGATATATCTCTAGTATGTTATCTATTAATATTAGTTGTCTTTTACATTATACATAAATACAACATATGTTGAGAAGATTGAAATATAGCATATTAAATTACACCTATTTGATATCTTAATGTTGATTTACCTTCTATCCCTACTGTGTGATAGATATTTCATATGAAATATTTCACAATGATAAACAAAGAAAGATATCAGCTAAAGATACACTGACTTAAAAACCAGAGCATTAAAGAAGTACATGAAAATATTTGAGGTCCGAAAAATCTAATTCGGTAATCAATCCTGTTACAGCTATTTAGGTGTGAGTGATTGGCAAACCAGATGTTAAATTTTCATTTTAAAAAGTACTTAAGGAAACTAATTTTTTGAATGCATCGCTTAAAAGGTTCAACAAAAACAAACAAGAGTTGAAATGTTTTTTTTTTTTTTGTTTTTATTCATGAAGATAATAGGTAAAGAAAATGTAAATAATGTTAGTTAATAATATATAGGTAGAGAGTAATACAAAATAAATGATAGTGTTAGTCAACAAGACAAACTATAATGGTCGGTATGTGTAGATGGGTGACACATAATAAAAAATACTGACTCTTAACAAAAATAAATTATTGTTAATGTTTGAAACAAATAGCTTCATTGTTTTAGATATTTTGCAAAACAATTTAGGATAACCAACTCATAAGCCCTTCAGATTTGTATAACAAATTTTCAGGTATTGATACACATCATTATATGTCCTGCATTTATCAATTATTCGTCATATTTTGGCCTATGATATTACACCCGAGAAATGAAAGCAAATGAGAATTTTTCGAAAAATGAGTACTTTATTTAACAACAAAGTTGATATTTAAAATTTTTTTTTGAATATTTAATCATCACTTATCCATTTCCTTCTTATATTTTAACATTAAACTCGTAACAAGTCTATTGTCAATACAACCTATTCATCTTCACTTTATATCAACAATACTCTAAGTATTTGTTTTGTTTTACACATCATATTGAAGTTTCAATGATAATTATAAAAGAAAAAGTAAAAGTTATTGTTGATATTTAAGATGTTCAGATTAATGTCACGTTGGCATGAAACAATATTTTTACTGGCTGTTTTTATTTCCATTTTAACTCATATGCACTAATTCAACAAGTTATTATACAAGACTGAATTTCGAGCGCAATTAAGACAAACATAAAGAGTTAATGAAGATAGAGTAATATTTGTGGTTTATTGAAGTTGATGAATTGAAAATTTAAACCAGCTGTGTATGAAGATATTGAACAAGCTAGCTATTTCCTGAATAAATAACACTATGAAAAAACCTTCTCAAACACACGTCTGTTGTTACACAGCCAAAATAAGCCTTGAACTAGCAATAAGAGTGAGGAAATCAGATTAAGGTTTTATTGGTATTGGCTAGTCTATTACAGTCTATAATAAGATAGTTAATTGAGACTTGTATCAGATAGTTGTACTATTACATTTCTAACATTATATTGCTACCTACCAAGTATCCTATTATCTATCAACAATAACTATATAGTACCACCAATCTTACTACTTAACCCATACTTTTCTATTTTATTACGGTCAAATTTTTACTGGAAATACCTTGGCTAGACAAAATACTGATTTGAACTTGTATTTTGAACTGTTACCAGCCTCTTAGTAATAATATGTTATATAATTATTCATCTTAAATTTTAAGATGTGCTCAATGTTATCTATTTGAATCTCTTCTTTAACTAGTCTTTCAAGCAAATATTCACAGGCCTATATCCCTGCAGTTTCTTCAGCAAAATTAATCTTTACACCAACAATCCATTTTGTTCCAATTTAATCCTGATAGTGATATGTCGTGATATTTGTGATAATCCCTCCAGTACTAATCAATTTAAAAACTGCATCATTAATTTTCCTAAGCAGTTTAAACCTTAATGTTACTACGCCACAATTCACTTGATCATCATTACAGTTCTTAACTTTAAAACCTGTTACAAAGGTCAACACAAATTTCATGGTGAATCGGAAGTAATCTTGTCTTACAGATGCTCAATTAAACCAAACCTCAAGAGATGGTCATGGAGAGGATGGAGATGGACATATTTGAAAGATACAATAATGCCTGCAAAACTAAACTTCATTGAGATAAAATAGATAAGAATAGATTATAGATAATAAATACACCTAATGCTGATACTTACTGCTGGAACTAATAATTTTTTAACTTCTTCAATTGCTTTCTGTAATTTCATTTCAGCTCTCTTTTTTGTGTCTTCTACTGTGATTAACACATGTAATTCTTCATTTAAATGTTCCCAATTGGCTTTACCTCTATTTTGTTCTTCCTGAGAAAACAGAGAATATAGTTTATAATAAAACATATAAATTCTCGTTTTTAGTGATAAAATACCATGAATAAACAAAAGTGAATTCAAGACATGGTCAGAGTTCTTATTTCCATCAAACTATTTATATTCTCAACAATACATATTTATTGAAAACTGATGCCAGAACCCAGATTCCAAGGAGCACATTATTTCTGGAACTGATAAAATCTGAAAATTTTAAACCATTCATAACTGGCATTTAGAAACTATCACTTGTTGAATGAACAGTTTAATATTATATGGTAATATCAGTAACTTTCTTAGGGAAAACTGATCTGCGATCAACCTTTTGGATAAAAAAAAAGTGAAAATCTCCCAGTGTGAAACAATAAGGTAATTTTTAAAAAAAATGTTCTACTAAAAGATACAAAGGTTATAAAATCTCACTTACTTTTTTCTTATCCCTCATTGAGCCTTTACCTCGTACCATAACTTTACAACCTGTATACTGTTCTAATTCTTTAGCCGTCATACCACGCGGACCCAATATCCGACCCACAAAATTAAACTGAAAAATAAAAGAAATATACTGATGAGAAAAAATCATTATATAAAGGTAACAATTAATAGATCTTGCAGGCAGGCTTAATGAAATTGCAATATTAGGTAACTTTTTTATAGTAAGATTGTAATATATGCATTTGATGGATATTTGATGAACAATAACAACACACGTCTGATTCTGTACAAGACAATAATATGGGCTCCAAATTTAATGAGCACATAATAAAGCCAGACATAAATAATAAGTAGTTCATGACAAATAAAGAAATGTAAGTTTCAAAGTTAAAACCTCCAGGCAAAGTTTATATTTAGAATAAACCTCTTTACATTTCATTCTTTTAGATTTTTGGGGTTTTCATTTAGATCATAATATATCAAAAACTAATGAATGAATCTGTTTATCTTACATAAGAAAGAGACTATTGAACCTCATTCAATTCTATGAAAGGGACATGATGTTGACAAGCCTAATCTAAAACTGATCATCAGCAATTTTAAAAGGGTGAGCCTACCACACCTTTTCCAGAGGCATTGACATAGACATTTTATATTGCAGTTAAAATTAATTCAGTTTTATACTGAAAGTTATTTGAATTTACAATGCACTTTTTGTTCAAGTTATTGATGATGTACATCAATATAAGTATCATCATATTCAGTCTGACAATTTCCCATTTCAAATCTTGAGGAAAGCAAGTTAATTCTACAAATAGTTTGTGAAAACAAAGGAATAGTTATAACACGAGTTTACAAAACCTAATGTACACATTTTAAGAATGGTGATTTATAGAAACATAAGAGAGCTGTGTACTTGAAGATGACGAAAGGCTTAGTTTTAAAGTGTTAAATTTCAAGTCAGTTTTGAACCCCAAGATTTTACAACTTTATTTTATAATTTAGTATCACATCTGTTCTTCATTCTCATAATGTTGTTACTACTAGAACAACTTTCAGCAGCCAAAAATAAAATCTGCAAATTCCTTGAGAGAATCTTTCTCACTGCCAATTAGCTAGAAACACTAATCTTTCTACTAACTAACTTAAGTTCACTCATAAGTTCAATAAGGTTCCTAATGTTGAAATAGAGAATGGTGAAAGCCATAAATCAGTGCCTGCAGAAGTGAGTTATCCTTGGAATGATCAGACATATTATGCGTCAAATAAAAGCCAACTTCAGGCTGCACTGCCAAAACCTAGGATTAAAGCATTGATATGATAAATCAGGCTTCAATTTAATCGTTATAGCATAGCACTTTGCAAGTCATAATGACTCATTATGCAATCAAATATTCCTTTTGATTAGCCAAAATTATAATTTATCATGACAATCTGAAAATCAAATCAAATTATATATTTTCTCAGAAAATTTTCTGCCAAATCTTGAAACATAGGCAGCTCTCAGTCTCCATAACCTATGGATTAAATGTCATTGGCAAGATTGATCTGAAGTCTACAACCAGAACATTTTGAATTGCTACCAAACTTTATTGAAATGTGAATGGATTAGCCAAAACTAATTCGTGAAATTTGATGTGATAATTGCTAATCAACTTTTGAAATCTAAATTTAACTCTGTGATAAATCTTGCTATCAATGTTGTGAAAAGTAAAAGGTTTAACAATGGTTTCTTTTTTATTTGTATATGTCGAAGCAACACTTTTATTTGCATTCCAATTTCCTATTTGACCTATCTATAATTCTAAAACAAATCGAGAGCATTGCAAATATCTTTCTTAGAAAACCTCTTAAATCCATTTAATCATCTTTTTATTCCACAACTTAGCAATTTTGTTTCAAGAGACAATTATCCTTGTATTCCAAAAAAAAAATTTCTCATCAAAGAGCTTAGTAAGTTTCAGATCCGCTTGATCCAAAATTCTTATATATCAAGCTATATCAAACTATCATCAGAAAATATTTTGACCCATTTCAAGAGCATTGTTTTTCTGTAGGCCAGTTTGCATGTTTGAGTCGTATTGAAAACTACCAACAGCTTCCATAACAAATTCCTCCAAATTCAATCTGTAAATTAATACCCAAATTCCTTGATCATGCAGTGAGATATACAAACACTTCGACTTGACAAACAGCTGAGAGTATACTTCTTTAGTGTAGGATGGTTGCTCACCACTCCTGATAGAAGTATATCAGTTGTGATAAAACCTCAGAAGTAACCATGTGATGTAAACTTTGAATATATGAAATAAAAGACTTCTGGCACAAAGGTTCAAAGAACACACACTACAACAACAACAAAAACACCATTGACTGCTTGAATGCTTGTATACTACTTTTATTTAAAATTAAGAAAGCAAACACGGTTCAACAGAAAACAAACAGAAACTTCCAGAAATGTTCTTTCGTAATAACTGTCTGATAATTATCTCAGTAGCAGCATTGAAATTCATCACTGGTACAAATCTTGTTTGTGCATACTTGAGTTACATTAACTATGTTAAGAATAATATACATGTATTTATGACTGTAGTCTAACAGACAAACAGCATTGAGTGATTTAAACTATCAGGTATCAAGAGAACAAGCTGACACATAAATTAAATAATGAACATAAAAATAACTAACCTCTGGATGTTCTTTTGACGGTACATATATTTTTTCTGATAATGTGACGGCAGCACCTTCATTTTGTGGTAATTCTAATGGTTCTCTGTTTGTTTTGTGATGAAAAAGTGAAATTCTGACTCTGTTTATTTCTGAAAAGAGAGCAAAGAAATATAACATGACTGAGGTCATGGGTGCAACTGATAAGGAAATGTATATCATCAATTCTGACCAATAAACCATTCCATCCATTTACCTTACATACACACATCAAAGCTCTACAGCTCCCTTCATTGGGTAATTCGTATCAAAAGTTTAAAATCTGATTTAAGTGTTTGTTAAGAGGTTAGCTCTAAATAATAGATTGTAAAAAAAAAATTAACCAAATTCATAAAGTAAATATTTGGTAACAATAGAATGCAATGATTTTCAAATTGAATTATATTCTTCAGCTGTTGTTGAGAGGTAAATAGATAGTGTTAAATATATGATGAAATTGTTTACAATTTTCACACACAGAACTTGGTAACTTTAATTATAGGGGAGTGTATTGGCTAATTGTCTGATAAAACTTCAATACACTCTTGAAACTATATTACAAAAATTATACAGTAGATCACTTCAAAAAAAAAAATCATCAAAGCTCAACTTTAAAATGACTCTTCAGACATTTGATAAAAGAAGGTAAGAAAGGAGTATAAATTTTACTTGTCTATATCATGGTTTATTATTAGACTAATCCCTAACCAAAGATGAATTTCCAAGGTTACTATAATGAAAATGTACCAGGATACAATCATGGAATCACTGATTATTGTTCCAAGGTCTGGTGTCTGGGTTCATGGCATTGACAAGAGTTTTTAAGACTACAGATGAAATATGAAACTTTGTTAGAAAGTTGATGATGGTGTTGTGTTGATGAGAGAACCAGCTGGTTGCTTTCTACTTGACATCTACTACTTATCAGCTGGCCATTATACACATACAAGCCTTATGGTTGAAATTTTATACACAGTTTTAAAAGCAAAATATTACTTTTTCAGAAGAAAGCCAAATAACCATTTTCTACCACTTATTTTGTTAAAAGCTTACATTGGAAATTATATGTGCAGGTCTTATGGTCAAACTAGACATTTTTCAAAACAAAATATTTTCAGGAGAAAACCAAATGGTCATGGTCTAAAAATTATAAAATGTGCAGGCTTTCTGGTCAAGGTTTTATAAAAACCAAAATAGTCCTTTTTAAATGATATAATGACAACCATTTCTACCACCAATTTATATATTTACATATATTAAGCTTACATCAAAAATAGTCCGCTATGTGCAGGCTTTCTGGTCAATGTTTTATAGACACATTATTTATAATTCTACTCTGGGAATATTTTCTTTATTATCAAAATCATTGAGTTAGACGGGCCTTTTAGTGCAGATTAAATAGACATTTTAGGATCAATGAGCATGATATAATATATTAACAATTTATCCATTAAATTTCTTACAGCTACTTTATTCCAATAAATAATTGAGATTCCACTAATCTGACTATTCATTATTGCAGTCAGAGAATTTTCATGAATATAAGAGTCCAGACAGATAATGCCAACAGATAATTGCACTCAATCAGATTGAGCTTTACATTCAAGATGATAAAAATTGTGAAGCTTTATATAAGAATGTTGAAATCGAATCCAAGTTTTAGACTTAGGTTAGTATTTTTCTCAATTTATAGAATCAAAATAATTCAGGTTTTACAAGTCATATCCAGACTGCAGGTAAATAGTTTGATTCTAATCTGTACTTTAACTTCTGCAGATTCATATATTTTTTTTTCCGTCTGCTATATTATCCTAATAGTAACATGTCATATTGGTACAGATATTAAGCCATGTTCTATCTGATTATTTACATATCTTATTTTAAAGGAATTGTAAAGAGGTTTTCAAAATTTTTTATGTGTATCATGAACACTGAGAGCATCAATTTGCACCATTCTTATTTTCAAACAGTCATCTGTAGCTCCTGCATTTCCAATTCAACTAAGTGCTTGATGACTTAACTAATCAAGAAAGGCCTTACATGTAAAGCAAATTTTGTGATTAGTGATGTCATCAAATACTTATTTATTGTGGAATTGCACCACAGACATCCGACAGAAAATTGGAATGGTACAAATTGATGCTAAACTATCAATGTCCTGATACCTAAAACTTTATAAACCCTCTTTACAATCCCTTTAAGAATTGGTACTTTTTAAATCTATTAGATTCTCTAATCTTCTCAGACCTGTCATGACTTTCCAATCACTGGTTACAGAAAGTTAACTATCCTGTACCATCTCCAGTTTAATCCAAATTTCTTGCATCTTTTTTCTAATCACATTTCAGGCCTTTTGTCAGTTTTAAATCATCAAAGCTCTATCTTCATAATGGCCATTTCAAAATTCTCTTACATAGATTAATGAATTTCCAATTTCATAGAAGCTGATTTTAGACCAAAAAGAAAGTAATTTCGAAAAGATTTAAGAAACAATTCATTTCTTGTGCACTTTTGTTCTTTTCTAATGATACACAAGTGGAAATGGATGTGTCGTCTGGTGCGATGTGTTTTTGTCAAGGAATAAAGAATTTTATTTTGAACGATTTGAAATCAATTGGATGGGTTCCATTGAATCAGTTGTCAATGAAAACCGAATATAGTCAAGTCTTGGTCAGAAATTAATATATTATCATCTACCCAGTACATGAAATTACTGTTATCCTATCCCTGATATGAAAACTGCCAAAATGTGATGCATCTATGTGCTTTCAAATACAGATTTCAAGGAGCTTACAAACATATGTTCTAAAAGAGTAAAATTCTGAACACTGTCTGGTTACAAGAATTTTTTATTTTTAGATTAACATAATTTAAATGGAAATGTGTAGATTTAGGCCTATCCAAGAAAAGTTTATTGTTGTTCTTGTAGTGTACCAGTACCTGGTAATTGATAGACATTTTAGAAGGCCTAGATTTAAAAATCAAATTAGCCAATTATAATAGTAGGCCTATAGGCTTTGCCTATGTGGAAGGTCTAATCAGTTCACAAAACATTACATTATAGACTTAGATCTAGCAGTAGGCCTAGTAGTTTAGTTAAAAACAAAATGCTATTTTAGAATTGGTGATATATAAGCTTAGGTCCTATATAAGTGTGATTTTACCACTGACAGTAGCTGTCATTCATGGCCTGGCATGCGATTAACGCCTCAAGGCATTGAGATAAAGAAATAAGACCCAACCAAACAAGTTGCGTGTCCCTTTGACTAAATATATGAGCTCAGCGAAGGGTATAACTTTACAAGATGGCTGCCAAAACTTCACTTTATGTGTTGGAATGTGATGCGCCTGTGATTAAAAATAGCAGATACTCGTTGGATAGATCAACAACATTCAATCTATCACAGATTTGTATACTGCTATCAAACAAATACATTATTAGAAAAAAACAAAATAGTAATAAAACTCTAAATAACTTTTAAAGCGGAGTTTCCTTCCTTTCAAAGTTTTACAGTTACGTCACGGTTCATAAATCACAGCTCTGTCGGTTGGGTATTCTAATTTTTACACCGTCAAGAAGATGTTGAAACATCGCCCAAATAAATAAAACACGGGACATTTCAGTAATGATACTTTGCAAGAGTATAGCACCTCTATGTCTATGTAAAATCTGAAATAAATAAATCAAAACACCAGACTTACCTTCGTCTAAAAGTTTTTCCACATGAACGAATACATTCGGAAGAGCTTGAATTTGTTTTTTATCTTTTAATAACTGTGCTAAATATTCTGGTGTGCTTCGGTCATCCTTATTCGCCTCTGTCCCCATATTAAAATCTATAATTTGAACAAACTACCTGAGTTAAAAAAGTTTTTACAATCCACACACAACAAAACTCAATACTGACTATTTTTAGTTTGTTACCCTCTCCATCAAACTTTGTTTATGAACACGTGTGATGTAAAGCGCATGCGTTAATATGGACGACGACATTGTGTGTTTAAGGGAGGTTTAATTACATCAAGTACAAACACGTCGTTTATTTGACCTCACAACTGCAAACAAATCGAGTTCTAATTGTTGGGCTATTTAAATCGCCTTAACTGAGATAATCCCCTTATCCTTGAACATATAACAATAGTCCTAATGAAATAGTTAATACTGATTATCAGGCTGAGACCCCTAATCATGAATCGGCCAGTTAAAAATAGGGCTAAATTCCCATTTGACAGAAGAGTTGACAAATGAGCTGTAAGATGGTAAAGAGCTCAACAAACTTATCTCAGTGCTACTGCATCAAATTTCATTTCCGTATCCCTGACAACCATATTTAAATTTCACCGGGCTCTCCTCACTTAACAAAATACATAATGAATTGGGTTTATATCAATTAGATCTGATTAATCTAACGCCGCACTCTAGTCCCACCTAATCACTATATTGAATAGGTCTTTTATTATGGTCATTATGGTCTTCAATATAGGTTGTGGGCTACCTATAGGGTTTTCATTTAAATCTGTCTTTTGACAGCTTCCTGTGTGTAATTTAAAATCATGAAATTGGTAGATGAAGTAAGCTTCAACAATTAAAATAAAAAAAATAGTAGGCCTGGGCTACAGGCTAATTCAAAGGAACCCCAAAACGAATCCTTAATATGCTTCAATAAACCAGTAACGGATTTTTGTGAGTGGGTCAAGCTTTCAAAAAAAAAAAAAATTCCAAAAAGGTGTAACCTTACTACTATTTCCCGAATTGAAAGAACACCTTTCTTTGTAACTTTTATAATAATATATTTATGCCAATACCATGACCAAGATAGCTGTCGAAGAGTTCCTTAGAGATCCCAGAAATTTTCTTGAGGGTGTTTTATATATATTGGTGCTGGGTGGTATCACAACGTATTTTATAGATAAAAGCCTTAAGTGATATTATGTCAACGTATTTATTGGAATTGGTAGAGGGTGATATCACGACGTATATTGTAGATATTGGTAGTGGGTGTTATCACGACGTATATTATGTAGATATTGGTAGTAGGTGATATCACAATGTATGTTTTGGATATTCGTAGTGGGAGATATCACGACGTATATTATAGATGAGGCAGTGGGTGATATCATGATGTAGATATTGGTAGTGGGTGATATCACAATATATGATGTAGATTTTGGTTATGGGTGATATCAAAAGATATTGGTAGTGGGCGATATCACAATATATGATGTAGATATTGGTAGTGGGTGATATTAAAATGTATCATGTAAATATTGGTAGTGGTAGTGGGTGTTATCACGACGTATATTATGTAGATATTGGTAGTAGGTGATATAACAATGTATGTTTTGGATATTGGTAGTGGGAGATATCACGACGTATATTATAGATGAGACAGTGGGTGATATAACAATGTATGATGTAGATATTGGTAGTGGGTGATATCACAATATATGATGTAGGTATTGGTACTGGGTGATATCACAATATATGATGTAGATAGTGGTAGTGGGTGATATTAAAATGTATCATGTAGATATTGGTAGTGGGTGTTATCACGGCGTATATTATGTAGATATTGGTAGTAGGTGATATCACAATGTATGTTTTGGATATTAGTAGTGGATGTTATCACGACGTATATTATAGATGAGGTAGTGGGTGATATTAAAATGTAAGATGTAGATATTGGTAGTGGGTGATATGAAAATGTATGTTGTAGATAACACAACGTATTGTATAGATATTGGTAGTGTATGATAGCATGTATTTTACCTATGATGGTAGTGGTTGATATCACAATGTATTGTATAGATATTGGTAGCGTATTATAGCATGTATTTTACCTATGATGGTAGTGGTTGATATCACAACGTATTGTATAGATAGTGGTAGCGTATGATAGCATGTATTTTACCTATGATAGTAGTGGTTGATATCACAACGTATTGTATAGATATTGGTAGTGTATGATAGCATGTATTTTACCTATGATGGTAGTGGTTGATGTAACAACGTATTGTATAGATATTGGTAGTGTATGATAGCATGTATTTTACCTATGATGGTAGTGGTTGATGTAACAACGTATTGTATAGATAGTGGTAGCGTATGATAGCATGTATTTTACCTATGATGGTAGTGGTTGATATCACAACGTATTGTATAGATATTGGTAGTGTATGATAGCATGTATTTTACCTATGATGGTAGTGGTTGATGTAACAACGTATTGTATAGATAGTGGTAGCGTATGATAGCATGTATTTTACCTATGATGGTAGTGGTTGATATCACAACGTATTGTATAGATATTGGTAGTGTATGATAGCATGTATTTTACCTATGATGATAGTGGTTGATGTAACAACGTATTGTATAGATATTGGTAGTGTATGATAGCATGCATTTTACCTATGATGGTAGTGGTTGATATCACAACGTATTGTATATGTAGTGTGTTAAAGCATGTGTTTTACCTATGTTGGTGGTGGGCGATATCACATATGTATTTTATAGATATTGTCAGTTAATTGCGTTTATGTGTTAAGGTTCGGGAACACATTAGTTTCAGTGGAAAGATGGCACAATAAGGCAATAAAACTTACTGGTTTCGTTTACCTGTCAGTATTCTGTAAAAAAGCGTATAATGTGGCATACAGTAAAAACACAAATCTCGGCATTTACAGGATTGAATA